AGATTTCAAAAAGACATGGCCTTGTTCTCCCCAGGTAACACAGTCTTATTTCTTGATGAGAATTGGCTACATGAACCAGATAGGAAGTCGGAAACCACATCCAGGTTTGTGCGAGCAAATCCAATAGGATTTCTGAGCCCCTCATTATGGTCTAAACTAGAGAGCCGTTTTGCTGGCTCAAATCAGTGTGGAATTTTTTTCATATGGGCTAAGGTTTTTTGTTTTGTTTTGTTTTCCCCCCTATGGAAAACCTTTCAAGCAATATAGTATGAAATAAAAATAATGTAGAGTGTTAATAAGAGAAGGCCCTTTCAGCCTTGGTACTGTAAAACCATACTCAGGATATTCAAGTTTCATTTCCTTTTCAGGTTGTGCTATTTACGTCTGCCTGGTGCACTGTGAAGTATACCTCATTTATTAACTGCCTCCATGTTACTAGGCAAGAAGTCTGTGACAGTGATTAACATTAATGGTGGCAAGTCAGCAACCACCCCCTTATGTGCCTCAGTGTTCTATAATTCAAACTATACAAATTAGTATAAGGTTATGGAAATAAAATCTGTAAAGTAAAATGCTTTTACAACCTCTGTATTTTCCTTGTCTTCTCATTATCATTGGGCAAAGTTTGGACATGTAGATTAGTAGACTTGTTTTAGTCACACAGGAGGTAGTACTAATAGACCTTGTTCTCTTAGTATAGGATTTTTGTCTCTAATGCCTCTAGTGAAAGCAAATAGAATCAAGAGCATTGTTTGGTCTACATTCTCTAAAACTTATCATGGTTTTGGGATTCTTGATCCCTAGGTCTCAAATCATCATTTACTCATTCACTCGCTCATTGAATAAATATTCATTGAGCATGTCACACTAGATTCTGCTTAATTAAATGGTATACAAAATAGACATGGTTCCTACCTGTGGTCCAGAGGGAGTTACATTTAATAAACATATAAATACAAAAATGCATGTGTAATTACCAATTGGGCTAAGAGCAAAGATGGAATTTAAAAGGGTGCAGTTAAGAAGAGTAGCAGAATTATCCTATTTTGGAGAGATGATCAGAGATCTCTCTCAGGAGATAACATTTTGACTGAGACTTAGGACGAGGAGTCAGGTATGTGCAAAGTAGAGAAATGCGCATTTCAAATCTGGTTGTAGTGCAAATGTGAGTAGTCTGAACACAGAAAGGGCTTGGCACAGTCCAGCACTGGGAGCATCTCAGTCTGGCTGAGTTGCTCAGTCTGCCCTGAGCCTGTGGATCAAGGCAAGGGAGTGTGAATGGGTTGGAGAGGCAGGCCAGAGTAAGGACCTGCTGGCTCTGCAAGGCTGGGCAAGGAATTTGAATTAAATTCTGAGTGGCAGTGGCCACTAAACAGAATGACATGGTCCAGTTACATGTTAACAAAGACCAATTGGGGTGCTGGGTAGGGAAGAGGTTGTACAGGGACGAGAATGGAAGAAAGAAGTTCAGTTCTAATGCCACATAGAATAGTTCAGTCAAGAGATGATGACATGGGCTAAAGTTTCTGGAATATGTGCCATTCTTTCCCACTTTGATATTCATGCTTCCATAGGGTCTTTCTTTAAAAAAAATTTAAATTAAATTTGATTTTAAGTTCCAGGATACATATGCAGGATGTGCAGGTTTGTTTCATAGCTAAACGTATGCCATGGTAGTTTGCTGCACCTATCAACCCATCACCTAGGTAGTAAGCACCACATGTATTAGCTATTTATCCTGATGCTCTTCCTCTTCCACTCCCTGACAGGCCTCAGTGTGTATTGTTCCCTTCCCTGTGTCTATGTGTTCTCATCATTCAGCTCCCACTTATAAGAGAGAACATGTGGTGTTTGGTTTTCTGTTCCTGTGTTCATTTGCTTAGGATATTGACTTCCAGCTCCATCCATGTTCCTTCCAAGGACATGATCTCATTCCTTTTTATGGCTATGTAGTATTCCAGGATGTATATGTATTACATTTTCTTTATCCGGTCTATTATTGATGGACATTTTGATTGATTCCACGTCTTTGTTATTGTGAATAGTGCTACAGTGAACATACACATGCATATATCTTTATAATAGAATGATTTCTATTTATTTGGGTATATACCCAGTAATGAGATTGCTAGGTTAAATGCTATTTCTGGTTCTAGGTATTTGAGGAATCGCCACACTGTCTTCCACAATGATTGAACTAATTTGTATTTCCACTGACAGTGAAAAGTGTTCCCATTTCTCCACAGCCTTGCCAGCATCTGTTGTTTCTTGATTTTTATTTATTTTTATTGTTTATTTCTTTATTCTTTTTTTTTGGAGACAGAGTCTCATGCTGTCATCCAGGCTGCAGTGCAGTGGTGCAATCTCAGCTCACTATAGCCCCTACCTCCTGGGTTCAAGCAATTCTCCCGCCCCAGCCTCCCAAGTAGCTGGGACTACAGGTGCACGCCACCAGGCCTAGCTAATTTTTTGTATTTTAAAGTAGAGATGGGGTTTCAGTATGTTTCCCAGGCTAGTCTCAAACTCCTGAGCTCAGGCAATCCACCTGCCTCAGCCTCCCAAAGTACGAGGATTACAGGCGTGAACCACCATGCTTGGCCTCTTGACTTTTTAATAATCACCATTTCTGACTGGCGTGAGATGGCATCTCATTGTGTTGACTTGCATTTCTCTAATGATCAGTGATGCTGAATTTTTTTTCATGTGTTTGTTGACCACATACATGTCTTCTTTTGAGAAGTGTCTGATCATATCCTGTGTTACAGAGTGCCTTTCTTAAGAAATGCTTCCTTTGTTCCTTTTTCTTCTCTTGTGTTTTCATTAAAATCCTACACATCTTTCAAGGCCTGGCTCACATGCTGTCTCTAACATGAAACCCCAGAGCCCTTCAACATGGAGTAATTCCTACTTCGTCTAAGCTCTCAGGCTACTTTGCCTTTATTGTGAACTTTATGACCTTCTTTTTTATATTGTAATTGTTAGTGCACGTCTGCTTCTTTCTTCTAGATTATAAGCTCCTTGAGGAAGAATGGATGACACATAGCTATACACTGGCTGTACACCACTCTGTCACCTGTGTTGCTTGTCACACTGCTTTGCACACAGAAGGCACTTGATGATAAATGATAAGTGGCACAACCATGCTCTTCATAAAGCTCTCTAATTCTCACATTAAAAGCTTTAAAACAAGTGCACAGATACTGTTTTTTCTAACATTTGAGGCATTTGCTATTAAATTTCTATGCATACCCATTGACCTGGGATCCAATGAGCTGTGGGAAATATATTTTCAACCATTTCTCCCAGGCCCATGAAGTTGAGTGCTGTTATATTTACAGGGGTCTGTGGAGACCCCCAAAACATGGCATCACAGTCATGTGTCAGAAATCCCTATCATAAATGAGTTGGACAGGATAAACCAACTTGAAAGAGAAAATAAAATATTATAACCCAAACTTGAAAAGAAAATATGGTGCATGGTTTATTGCTGTGGATTATGGAGGAAGAAAGAACTGATTTTAAGTCAACACAGAAAAGCAGTGACACTCTTTAAACTCAATACAGTATTCATATGGCAGACACTCAACTTTAGAAAGTCAAACCTTTAGGGTCCTGCTCTGGTCTATAAAATACATGCAAAATTGCTTTGCTACATTATTAGTGCTGCATAATTAGTGTGCAATTTTAAAGGCAAGGAATATTTAGGGAGAAAAATAACTTTGAAGCCTTGAAGACTCTTTCAAGTCAGAGTCTGTTCGTCAGAATCTCACATTGCTTTAAAAGACCTTTAAAGACTGCGGTCTTGGGAAATTCCACTCGGATAAAATGAGGTGAAAGAGAACTAGGAAAGATTTGCAATGTAGGAAACAACTTGAGCTGTCTTAGTGATGAGTTCTGCAATTATCAAAAATATGAAGATGATCTTAAATAATGAGATTCCCTTATTTCTAGAATCACCTTGCACTGAGAGTGCCTTCCTCCTTTCCTGAGCTCCCTAGCACCTATCCCTAAGTCTCCATTGCTTGAATGTAGTGAGTCATTAACAATTGGTGCAGACACAAAGGTACCAAGACTGAAAGTGGAAACACTAGGGTGCATATGGAATATGTTGTTCAGGCTTGTTCTAGTCTACAGGCATGAGGGCAATGTATACAACCATGGCAGGGGTTGCCAAAACTAAGATAGGATGCAATGGATGGGGACTTATGCGTTAAGTGGAGGTTGAACCACATGTCCCCTGAGGACCAAGCTGGTGACACAATTCGATGTGCTAGGTTGGTCAGCCTTATGAAACTGGCTCTTTATTTCTGATTTGCTTGTGATTCTTGGAGACTGGATGACATGTACTGCATCCTGCCCCGTTCAGTCTCACATTGTGGATTTTCCTTTGGCTAAGACCCGGAAAAAATCTGCTTTTTCTGTCCTTTACATGAACATTTCAGGTCATTAAATGAATAATTTCTAGTGGTAGGAAAGGCATGCCTTCAGTGAAATGGCAAATGCAGTCAAGTTTTGGGGTCTTTCAGGCTGAGGCAGATTGTCTGGTGGTCTGATTGCACCTAACTGAATTGACTGAGTCCATTATTAATTATTAACTCACTTGCACATAATTTGTTTACTAATTCATTCAACAAGCATTTTTTAAGTGCCTCCTGTGTGTCATGTACTATGGATATGACCATTGACCAGTTTTCCATTTCAATATCTGTCTAGGCAAGTGATTTATCACCACTCTGGGGCAAGGAAGGTGAGTAGAAGAGAGTTTATAGAGTTACATACTGGGCAAACTTTAGTTTTTATAGAGAAGTGAGTCAGGTGGGTCAGACATCTGTGTGCCAGGCCAAGTTCTATATCCAGCTTCAAATTAAATCTCAAGCTGAAAGGAAATTAAGTAAAAGCAACAGCTGTTATTAAAAAAGTGATTTTTGTAATTTTCTAGGAGTACTAAAAAAGAAATCAGTTAATATAAAAGCAATTCATACTTATTTGTTTGTTTCTAGATTACCAGATTAAAAATTGACCGAAACCCTTTTGCTAAAGGATTCAGAGATTCTGGGAGAAACAGGTAAGAATCACCGGGGAAGAGGCACTTCTTTTCTATGTGACATTACTTCCTTCACATCCTGCTGATGGCTGATGGTTCCTGCCTTTTAGAAAACACCTGTGTGCTCCGCCACTGTGTACACTTCAGCAAAGAGAAATGGATAGCTAACATAAGAATCAAATTCTTTGTTGCATAGCCTAAATCACCACATCAGATCCCTCATGCTGTTTTCTTCCCTGTATCATATTTAGTAACTGAGTCACTTAAAACAAGTTTTATGGTAATTTATTATCATTAAAACATTGCCATTTTTTCTCTGATATGTATTTGTAGGTGGCTTCAGCACCTGCAGTGATATCTCATCTATTTCGCATTACCAGGAAACAAGGAGTTGTAGACAAATAACATTTTTTTCAGAAAATTACTCCCTTAAGAGCTAAAACAGTATGAAAAAAAATGTAACTGCTTTTCTCCTGGGAAATAGTTCCAAAATATATCAGATGCTTCCTGCTTTAGAAAAGAGAGTTTACAGAACCCCCCTTTCTTGATGACTTAGTCTCAGTCATTATAACTAGGTTATTATATAGTGAATCTCTTAAGAATTGCTGAAGTTTATAGGACTATTTGCTCCTGCTATAAATGTCCTTACAGACTGTGTCATTTCTCTGGATGATACTTCTTTCTGTTCTCTAAATTCTTTCTCACTCCTCCTATGTAAAATTAAAAGCTGTTACCTATGGAAAGTTAGGAGAGAATCAAAATGGGTAGGGAAACCAGCTGTATCTAAGATTATTCAATCAGAAAATTTCATCTTATATATACAATATTGAATTCACAAGTGTGACACATCTGTCTCATAAAGTGCGTAGACTTTGCAATGACTGTTTATTTTAATAGATTTTTTCCCATAATTTGAGGGCATTTATTTACATTCAAATGACAGATTACCAGGAGTTATCTTCAGTATTCTCTCTGTAAGAGTTTTCAAATCAACCAAAACCTTTTATTTAAAAACATTTTATGAAATGTGCAGTGCATTATATTAGAATCCAGATTTATGCTAAAAATCTGTTATGGCAATCATTTTCTTTACAAAATGATTTATGAATCACTTCTCTACTACACGTATGTATGTTTAAAATATATTTAGATTTGAATAAAATTGTATTTACCTCAGAATTTTAAAAAATTATATGTACTGAGAAAAGTAAAAATCACTTAAACTTCCAGCTTGTGGACGACAAAATTGAGCAATATATTTTTGGTCAAGCAACTACCAGTTAGTGGCAGAGCACAGTAGAACTCAGGCATGTGGACTACATGCCAAATGCTTTTTCCTTTCGATCATTTGTTGTTTATAACAAGACAGAGGCCCTCATTTTCAAAATTTAGCCAGTGAGGAATGAATACCTATTACTTTCATTTCAGATGGCCCGTCCTCTTCCATCCCATTAGCTTATTTTACATGTCCAGGTCAGCAGAATGTGCTTGCAAGCCACTTCCTGTTGCCTTTTTTCCAAGGTGTTCTGCACTGTGGGCTAACTGAAGACCTTGTTAGTGATAAGGAGATCAGAAATAGAAGCTGGCCTTTTGTAGAGAAGCCCCTAGACCTGTCTTCGTGGTGATTTTTTGGGGCAGGACTTTCATGACAGGCTATTTCTGGAGGCAGGCCATGGTATGCAAGGGCTTTTAAGACCTTTAGCTTGGAGTACATGGATAGATTTTTCAGGGGTTTCAGATATTGTAGGTAAAGTTGTGTTTGGATGAATAGATGTACATTTTTCCTGGAGAGAGGTCTATACCTTTCTTCAGATTTTCAAAAAAGTCTTAAAGTTAAGAATTTCTGCTCTAGATACAACTTTCTCTCTCTCTTAAGGGTTCCAGCCTACTGGTGTTAGTTATTAAACTACTTCCTTCTTTTTCCTTCCTTCTGTATCTCCAATAGCATTTAGTATTTGCTTATTTTATTCTTGGCACTTGAAATATTTTATTTTCTTTGCTTTTTTTCTCCCATTTGAGTCCGTGTTTTTCAGAGTTTTTGTTCATTTTTCTAAAGTTGAATTTGATTTCTAAATAAGTACTTTCCTATGAGCAGTCACCCATTCCTTGGAAATTGCCATCTGAATGTACTTTGACCATTTGTTGTCTGCACTGCAAAGGCATCGAGAAATATGTAGGTCAATTGTTGATAAATGCGAAGAAGAAAAATAAATCAGATTAAGAGGTAGAGTGAGAGGTGGAGACATTTTTACAGGGTGAATAGGGATGGTGTCTCTGATAAGATGCCATGAATGTTGCAAAAGAAACTGCCAGCTATGTACTCTGGGGCAGTGGAAACAGCGAGTGCAAAGACAGATGTGTGCCAGGCATGTCTATGATACATCAAGGAGGCCCTGTGACTACAAAGCATGACCCCTGCACAGGAACATGACTGAGCATCATGAGAATGAAGGTGCTGAGGCATGATTTATAACAGAAAAGTAGGCTAGATAAGCGAGTGTTGACCAGCATTAGATCTATGTTGTAGGAAATAGAGCCACTCTTTAACTTTGAGAATTAGACTGTTGTATCTTGAAGAATTTGCTGTTGGCTAGGAATTGTGATGACATCTCAGTTCAAGTACTGAGGCCCTCATTCCTCTACTGGCCTGAAGGCTGGTGACTGTCTTACTATTCAGGGTGGACAGTTATGTGTGTGTCCTTCCTAATGAGCTCTATTCTCTCTAAGGGCTCCAGGAAAGCAGAACTATGGATCCTCATTAGCTCATTTCCCTGCATTATTTATTTATTCTTTTCTGATAGCATGGGAATTCTTCATTATGTTCCATCAAAATCTGAGGGCTACTTTAAGTACTATCAGAAATCTTATCAGTTAACTTACTGTGTTCCAGACCTTTAATTATGTTTTCTCTAATCTTGAAAACAACTCATATTTTACAAATGAAGCAATTGAGGCTCAGAGAGGTTGGGCAGTTTTCCTACTGTCACATAGTAAAGCTGGAGCAGGTATTAAAGCCGACTCTGCCTGACTTCAAAGCCTGAATGCTTTGTGCTTTATCATGCTAACGGTTTACACTTGGCTTATCTTCAACAGATATTGAGAACAGAATCCCAACTCTAAAAGGCAGAATCCTACCTCTTAATCTGTGTAAAAACAATATTCAAGTCACCTAGAACATTTGCTTTTCCAAGTAACACAAACTGTATATTCTTAGTTTGTCTTCGTAGTCTACTCCCCGTGACTTCATTATCAACTTTCTATCCCCGTGTAAATAAGTGTTTTCCTAGTAGACAATGGGAAGCCAGCCTGACTTTCCCTAGCAGATGAAACTATGACATTGAAGTCATGTGTCTCATGATGGGGCAAGGATGAATTACTAAAGATAGAAGCCATTTTTGTCCTTTAGCATTCTGGAAAACTGGATTAAAATAAATTGTTAAGGCAAGTAAGGGGGTCCTTGTATTTTTCTCTTTAAATATCTCAAAATTACCTGATAATCACACTTTAATTCTCACTGACAACCCACAGGATCTGATGAGGGCAACAATTATTAATGCCACTTTGCAGGTGGGAAATATTGATAGATGAGGATATAGAGAATTATTTGCAAATCTTCTGGGAACTTGTGGTTCTGTGCCAGAATCAGGACCCAGTTCACCACCTTCCATCCAGCACCTCATCTATTGCCCTTCCGTGGTAAAAAAAAAAAAAATTCTAATTTTTAAATTTTAAATCTAAGATCTTCCCCATGCATTTTAGATATCAAGTGACTCATGCAGAGGAGCACGGTTGATGAGTTGCATATAAATGTACCCAAAACATACGGATTGTATTTCCTTTAAAAACACATGGGCTTAAAAATTAGGGGGGAAAGTGCTTGTCCAATGTTTTTTGGTTTTGCAGAACACAAAACATTTGTGGAAGACTTTGGAGTTACAGAGTTTGCCAAACCTCAAACCAAAACATGTTCAGGTTTGTCAATCTCAATACATCCTAGTACAATCCAGAGGCTCAAGAAAGAGGAATGAGAAGAAAGATGGGGAGGACGCAGCCACCCACAACACTCTCCTCAAATGCCTGTGAGAGTCTCTCTCAGCCCATAAGCCTCTCACACTCAGAACCATCCGAGTGTGGCCCCCTGGCTGACAGCTATGTCCTCTGAAGTATAGAAAAGAGTGCTTGAAGGACCTGTGGCTGAGCATACTAGCTTCCCATTTTTCATATGTTGATGTAAAGAGACATCCGACTGGGTGCGGTGGCTCATGTCTGTAATCCCAGCACTTTGGGAGGCCGAGGCGGGTGGATCACCTGAGGTCAGGAGTTTGAGACCAGCCTGGCCAACCTGGTGAAACCCCGTCTCTAGTAAAAATACAAAAATTAGTCGGGCACGGTGGTGTGTGCCTGTGATCCCAGCTACTAGGGGTGCTGAGACAGGAGGATCGCTTGAACCTGAGAGGTGGAGGTCGCAGTGAGCCGAGATCATGACACTGCACTTCAGCCTGGGCAACAGAGCGAGACTCTATCTCAAAGAAAAAAACGACGACAACAACCACAACAACAAAAAGAAACCAGGGATATCCTTGGAGAAGTCCTCCTGGCTTCTAGCCCCATCACTTTCTCATTCCTCTAAATGGGAACCAGATCTGATTGGTGAGTCTGGAAGAAGGAACTTCCCAGATTCTTGCCTGCTTACCTGCAGAACATACATTCCCAGCTGTCTTTCCACTATGTGGAAAGTCTAGCAGAGGAGGCCTACATTTCTGGGGCATCGGCTTATTTCAGGGGAGTTCTAGCCAGGTCATTCAGCCTTCTCACCTATGCCACAACCCCCAAACACCTTTATCTATAGTGAAAATGGTATTCTGGTCTCCATGGCATTAGGCTCCTGTGCCTTCCACAGAATAGATTCTGAGCTTGGGTGAAATAAGAGGTGATATTCATTGGACTGTGTAAGACCCCAGTGGGAGCCCCAGTGAGTTCACGTTTCAGCCCTGTGGTGCCACCGTCATTAGAGCCTGTTG